TGGGAGCACAGCTTTCCTAGCTGGGAGCACAGCTTTCCCCAGGAGGTGGGAGGGACTCAAGGGGCATTTTTGTTTTGTCTTCCATTTTTCTGCAAAGTTGTGATGGGATGGTGGATAGTATCATGGGACAGTGGATTTGTTCTGTTCTTTCGGGAACACCAGGCAGGACCAAATCAATGTGCAGTGTGGCTGTCTTATCCCTTCTGTGACGAGGGGAGCTTTGCTGAGTGGAGCCCTGAATCCCACCCCAAAACAACACAATTTTATTCTCCTAGTGAAATGTCCAAACTGCACACCACCATTTCCTGATGGCATGCCATTAGGCTCGGGGACTCAGCACACCGAGCAATGGTGGAACTTCCCAGAGACAGCCGTGGGGGCTGGGGTCCTGTGACAGCCTCGCAGTACCTTCTTTGAGGTCCTCGTCAAGGCCCAAGCTCAGGCCAACCTGCCCCTTCTGCTCCATTTGAGCATGGCAAGGGCTGAGCGCTGAGCATCCTGAATATCTGTGGCTTTTTCAGAAGAGGCATCAACACAGAGGCCCAGAGGCCGGATACAGAGGCACATCCAGCAAGCGTTCTGGTACGCAGGGGCGCTTGCTGCCAAACCCGAAGACTTGAGTTGGACCCCAGAACCCACACTGTGGAAGAAGAGGACTGACTCTGGACAACTGTCCTCTGACCTCCACACGCATGCTTGTTTTTAACAGCACACGGTGATTCTCTCAGAAGCCCACACCCACGCTCTCCAGCATGTCTTCCTTTGTTGGTAGCTCTCTCATAATCCTCACTCAGCCTCTCTTAAAACATCCTTAAAACTCAGGCGGTGGTGGCGCACGCCTTTAATCCCAGGACTCAGAAGGCAGAGGCAGGCAGATCTCTGTGAGATCGAGGCCAGCCTGGTCTACAGAGCAAGATCCAGGACAGGCTTCAAAGCTACACAGAAAAACCCTGTCTCAAAAACAACAACAATAAAATCCTTAAAAATGAAACTCTGCCTAAAAAGAAAGAAAGAAAGAAAGAAAGAAAGAAAGAAAGAAAGAAAGAAAGAAAGAAAGAAAGAAAGAAAGAAAGAAAGAAAGAAAGAAAAGAAAAGAAAAAATTAGAAATTAAACCTAATGTTTTATCTTAGGGGAAAACATTTAATTCACTAAGAAAACAAAATGGGTTATACTGTGAAACCAACGGCACAGCTCGAGCTTCGGTAAGAATGAACACAATTTTCCTGCATCAAATGTTCTGAATAAGGAAACAGAAGCTGGGGAAGCAAGAACCTGTCCAGTCTTAGCGGGTTCTGCCCACCCAAACTCCAGGGTCAAATCCTCCAGGATGATCAGGTAGACAGGACCAGAGGAACCCACGCAAGAGCAGCAGCCACACCTCGGCATGGAGGTCATGGTGCACAGAGCACACTCCTGGAGCTTGTGTAAGCCCCGTCCATGGCCCTGGGTGTGCCGAGCACGGGAGAAGCACTCACATCCCAGCCAGCCGACAGCTGGCACTTGCCGCCTCCCTAGGAAAGCTCTGGAGGTCAGGGAGGAGGTATGCTGTTGGCTCTGGGGTCCAGTAACACTGAAGACAGTGTCCCTCCCCTCTGTGGTGGGAATGGGTGGACTTACCTACTACTGATTTTGTTCCTCAGCCTTCATCAGAAAGGAGACGGAAGTCTCCCGTCTAGGAACTCTGACAGAGTAAGGCCTCTGTGTGGCTATGGGTCCCTCACAAACAAGACTTTGGTGGTAGAACAAGAAAAAAATGAAAGGCAAGTCTGCCAGTTTGCTTACTTTCCCACAGCAAAAACCGTCAGCCCCACGGTGATTCTCTGCCTGGCGTAATACTTTTCCAGCACGGCTCTGTCGTAAGTGCCTTCCCACACTATGGGCGCCTTCCACGGAGTCACCGACAAAACCTCCGGGCGGTTCCTGGAGACAGAACATGCAGCACCGTGAGTCAGAACCTCTGTGGACGGTAAGAGGCTGGCCAAGGAAGAGGAGGCCAGCAAGATCCATGGCAACCGGCCCTGAATCCCGAGTGAAGCTTCATCCCCAAGTGCCTGAATAGGTGTGACGTGGGCATGGGCAGCACTGGGCCCAGGCACCTCTGAAGGCTGCTCGGGCACCTTCTCGGATTCTCACTGTCTAGTCATGTAACCAAGGCTGACCTCAAACTCCCTATGTAGCCAAGGATCACCCTGAACTACCGACTCTCCTTTTCCCATCTTCCAAGTGTGGGATTACAGGCATGGACCACCCTTTAGGAGGTGCCAGGAACAGAAGCCACGTTCTGTGTGCTTGGTAGGCACTCTACCAACCGATCCACATCACAGACACCTTTGCGTTTCTCTCCAGGCCCTAATTGACATGCTTGGCTTTTTATTTGTCCTTGGGAATATCATCAGAGCCTAAGAAGACCCTCAGATGTGATGCAGGGGGGTGAATGAAAGAAGTCGGAGCTGAGAAAGGCCAGGAAGGGCCCCAGACTCAGGGGGTGCTGGTGTCACCGTCCTGCAGGATGAAGAGACTCTAGAGACTGCGTGTCCCCTCTCTTGAGCTGGCAAGCTATTGAGACGATGTTCTTTGAGGAAAGAGGACTTCTCCAGCAGTCTCCTGCTGAGGGAAGAGAGAAGCCCAAGCTTGTACCAGCCAGAGGGGGAGCTTGTCTCACTAAGAAGAGGTCTCACAATCCTAACAACTTGTGAAACCACGCCGAAGGACAGGCTGCTGTGGTGACAAGGACGGGTCAATGCCGGGCAGTTAGTTATGCACACCTCTGCCTAGTGTCTAAACCTAAAGGGCAGTCAGTGCCCCAAAGACAGAGCTGGGGGTCACTAGCCTCCTTATGTGTCCCTCTTCCCAGTGGACACATCAAATGATCACTTTCCTCTCATTTTCACTGTTCTCTCACTTTTTTAGAACTTTAAAAACTTTGCACATGTGGGATGCATGTATGTATGCATGTTTGCATGTATGTAAGTGCAGTGAATGCACACTTAACGTTGATGTTGGGAGTCTTTATTCACTGAGACAAGCCTCTCAAATGAACCTCGTTCGTCAGTACAGACTAGTCTAACCAGTTAGCTTGGTCTGTGGAATCCGCTCTCCAGCTTCGAAGCGGTGGGATCATGGGCAGGCTGCCACACCCACCTGGCATTTACATGGGTGCTGGGGATCTGAACTCACGCCTGCAGAGCAGACGGAGCTTATCCACAGGCCATCTCCCCAGTCCTGCGCTTGTCTCTACGGAGGGTTACATTATGTCAAAGTCATGTGCAATTAACTAACTGATTCCTATCTAATCAATTAAGAACCTGTAACAGGAAGGCTAAGTAATTTGCCTGAAGTCACACAACTACTAAGTTGGGGACCCGAGACTCGAACCCAGAGAGTCTCTCTCTGGAGGCCAGTGCTTTGAGCCCCAGTCCCTGATGCTCTTTAGATGGACACTTGCTGTGCTGATAAAATCAGGTTACCCCAGATTTGTCTTTGTCCCTTCAGTGGCTACTGTGGCATTTCGTCAGCACTGATGTGACCCCATGTCATGGGTATTGGGCGACCGCAGGCCCAGCTTTGTGGGAGCTCACTTGTAGAGCCTTGCCCTGGAAGCACATTTAGCCCTGCTGCACGCTGGCTTTACTGAATGACAGGATTTCAAAACAAAAGGAAAATAAACACACACACATTCTATTCCTCAAAAGCAGCATTTGTGAACTTCACCACCCTCATATATCACAGCCTTGTTTGCCGGGCTGTTAGTTTTGGCTAAGGACATCTCAAGAGCTCTAACCAACCAACTTCCTCAGTCTTGCTGCTGTATACGAGCCACGGTATTACTTCTGCTGTATACGAGCCACGGTATTACTTCTGCTGTATACGAGCCACGGTATTACTTCTGCTGTATACGAGCCACGGTGTTACTTCTGCTGTATACGAGCCACGGTATTACTTCTGCTGTATACGAGCCACGGTATTACTTCTGCTGTATATGAGCCACAGTATTACTTCTGCTGTATATGAGCCACGTCTGCTGTATATGAGCCACGTCTGCTGTATATGAGCCACGGTATTACTTCTGCTGTATACGAACCATGGTATTACTTCTGCTGTATATGAGCCACGGTATTACTTCTGCTGTATATGAGCATGCAGTATTACTCTCTTTTTAATGAAAAGAGGGAGCAGGCACATATTTAATGTTTCATGTACCAGGAGCTAAGTACAAGTCTTTCCCTCCTATATTTAATCTCTGCCAGCACCTACTTTACGAGTCAAGTGAGGCAGGGATGGGGAAGGGGACTGAGCCACCGGTGACTTAATTTATACAAAAAGCCAAACTGAAGTTAAACAGAAATGACACCTAGTCCTTCCCCTTGAGAACCTCTCAGTCCCAGCACCTCTCAGCTGCATGGCCTCTCAGGCCCTGTCTTCTGGAAACGTAAGAATCCCAGCGTCCACATCGGTTACTTGAGCAGGAAGACAAAACAGCACTATTAAAAATTAATGCTAAATTAAAAATTGAAACATTCCATTTCCCAGCAGTTAATTGTTCAGTTCCATGGACAATCCCAGCATGTGGCGACCCTTGAGAAGCCAGAGGCCAGCCTGGAGTGCAGGTGTGAGGAGGTGGGGGAGGCTGAGGGGGAGACCAGCTTCCAGAAGCAATTTGTGCCTGAAGCAACTGAGTCATCAAACCCCACCCCATCCCCTAGGAAGCCGCTGTGATAGTCGGCTGCCTTAAAAAGATCACCACGATAGAGCTCTAAAAGGAGGGAGGGAAATGCCAGCAAAGAGCCGCTCAAATGCCTTCCTTCTGAACGGGGCACGCAGCACTGTGTGACCTCTGGGCGCCGGATCCACCACACAGGACAAAAGCGTCCAGGAATCACAGACCTCCTGGAATGAAGCATTCGGGTCTCTGGGTTACTAGGAGTTGGTCTTCAGTGGTATGTCTTTACGCACAGGTACATTAATGGTATCCAAGGGCTAGCTAGAGGAAGCATTTAAATTCTGTGAATTAGGCCAGTCAGAGGGCTCAGCAGGCAAAGGTACTTGTGGGGAACCTGACACATGAATTGATCCCCAGGACCCACACAGTAGAGAGAGAGAACCAACTCCCACAGGCTGTCCTCTGACTTCTACATGAGTGCCTGCTCACATGCACACAAATAAATGACTTAATATTTAAAAATTTTAATAACCACACAGTAGACGGAAGCAAAGATGCGGAACACACACCACCACCACAGAGCTGATGGCAGCGTGAACGGGGTGGCGGTGGCTGTGGAGTGGACACATTTGGGGGACAGCATTTGGGAGCAAGAATTGATAAAAGAATTAAGACCCGGTGGACAAAGGAAAAATTCTCCCAGACTGAGACTGAACTGTTTGCCGAGGCTGGAAGTGAGAAAAGACAGGGTGAGGAGGAATTGAGGAATCCGCGTGGGTCCTATGAAGCATGCAGGGATGCCAGGCAGGCAGGCAGGCCAACACAGGTCAGGGCCAAGAAGAAGCACTTGAGCGAGACTCAGCTGGGAGAGGCAGCCTCTCCATGCTGTCCACGGCAACGGACGGAGGCATGACAGAAAACAGAGCAAAAGAGGAGAAATAGGAGGTGCCGTGTGGAAATGCCCGGAAAGTCCCGGGGAAGGAAGAGCAGATGCCCTCGCTGAGACTGAGAGCGGCCGGGAGGCCAGAGGGCTGAAGGCAGGGAGCATGTGTGGAAACGTGTGTGCACTGGCTCTGTGGCAGATTACAGGAAAGGACACGTTCATGGGACATAAAAATGCTTCCTTACTCATCCGTTCCTTCATAGTCACTCACTCAAGAAATAGATTTTGGTGCCTTCAGAAGGTGTCAATGTGCTTCAAACCAATACTCCTTATTTGTGTGTGTACATGTGTGTGTACATGTACGTGTGTGTGTGTGTGTGTGTGTGTGTGTGTGTGTGTGTGTGTGTGTGTGTGTGTAGACCAGAGAACAACCTTGGATATTTTTCCTCAAGTGCCACTCAGATTTTGTTGTTGTTGTTGTTTTGAGACACAGTTTCTCACTGGCCCAAAACTCACACATTAGGACAGAGTAGCTGACCAGCAAGCCTTTGGGATCACCTGTCCCCACCTTCCCAGGGTAAAACGGCAAGTGCACGCCACCACACCTGGTTTTGGTTTGGTTTGGTTTTTACATGCATTCTGGGGCTTGAACTCAGGTCTCCTGCTTGCAGGTAAGCACATTACTGACAGACATCTCCACAGTCTCAGGCAGTGCTCTCTATACATCTACTTGCCACTCGTTTGGAAGCTGAGTGGACCGTGAGGGACAGTGGAGGAAGTGACAGCTGGTGGCTGTGGCCCACAGTCATTCACAGTGCAAGTGCTGCGGTAAGATGGTCCCATCCTCTCCAGAAAGGTGCCCAGCAGCCATCCCTGGCTGTCCAGCCCTGGACCTCATCCCCACACCTCATCCCCACAGCGGCCATCCATGGCTGTCCAGCCCTGGACCTCAGACCCATCTAAGAGTTAGCGAAGAAGTGGTGCTCCCAACTTCCTACACTCCCAGTATCTCCCAGGCGGCTACCCCTATCAAAAGACACAGAGAGGCTGCAATTCCCAGTCCTGCACAGTAGGAATTTCTCCTATTCCAAGAAATAAGTGGGCTTGCCCAAACAAGCCCAAGATCCTTCCAGTGGATAAGGCAGCCTTCTCCCTTCCTCTGCAGCTCCTCATCCTGCCCTCCACCAGCTCCTCCAGTGCGAAGACAACAGATCTGGTCCTATTCCTCCCTGGATGACTGTAGGGAGCCGCCATTCAAAGATGGCGCTGGCTTCCTGGTAGCCTAGCTGTAAACAACTCCATATTTGGCTATGATGCACGAGTATGGTAATTGGCTTTATGTCCTCAGCCTATCCCGTGACTCCCCGTGCTTGCATTCTGACGGGACCCAATCACAGTGCGGCACGTTTGCCTGATTCCCTATATAAGCAGTTGCATTTCAGTACTGGGGGCCCCTCACCTCCCGCTCTCCCTTAACTAAGAGGTGCTCCAATAAAGTGTGTTCTGAGAAGAATCCTCGCATGGTGGTCGTTCTTCCTCACTGGCCGAGGAGTGCGCCTCAGATGACCTCAGCTAGGACTGCAGGTCCCTGCCGCCTGTACTCTGACAACACCTCATCCCTGTCTCCAGTTCACACCTTCAGCCAAGCTCACCTGAGAGCACTTGAGTCTCCAGACAGATGCCCCTCGACACATAAAACACACAGCGCCACCTCTCAGTTCCTAAGCCTGTGTCCCTCCTCACGTCCTTTTCCTGGATGCCACTATAGCCACGCACAAGTCTCCCAGGCCTGTGGTCGCTCTGTCCTAAGTCACTAAACGACATCTTTCCAGTCAGTTGACCATGTGACCTTAATAACTGTGGCAAATACCAGTTTTACATCTACTCCACCTTCTCCCCACTTCCTGCCCTTTCCCTCCCTCCTTTTTGTATCAGCACCTGGGATTAAACCCAGGGCCTCATGCATGCCAGGCATATGCTCTACTACTGAGCTACACAACCCCAGGCCCAACATCAGGAACTTCTTAATTGTACCATTGTCCCCAACACAATGCCTGCCACAGTATTTTTGTAAAGCCATAATTTATGGTGAGAAATACAGATTTGGCTGTGATCAAGTGAGGAAATAGTTTATGTTATATCCAAATACACACAGAAACAAATTCCACTTATTAGTACTCATCTTTTGTGTGATGCACTTTGATAGTCTATTTCAATCTTATATGTACACATCTGTGTGATATGTATGTACTACATGGGTATGCACACTGCACACCCCCATGCGGAGACTGGAGGGCACCCCAGGTGCACACTGCACACCCCCATAAGGAGACTGGAGGGCACCCCAGGTGCACACTGCACAGTAACCATGTGGAGACTGGAGGGCACCCCAGGTGCACACTGCACACACCCATGTGGAGACTGGAGGGCACCCCAGGTGCACACTGCACAGCACCCCATGTGGAGACTGGAGGGCACCCCAGGTGCACACTGCACAGTACCCATGTGGAGACTGGAGGGCACCCCAGGTGCACACTGCACCCATGTGGAGACTGGGTGGCACCCCAGGTGCACACTGCACCCATGTGGAGACTGGGCGGCACCCCGGTGTCAGCCCTCACTCCCCCGTTTTTGAGGCAGGGTTTCTTGTCCCCGCTTCCTCCACCTGGCTGCTGGCCCATGTCCTCCCAGGAATTCTCTCGTCTGTGTTTCCCATCTTGATGCAGGGCACCAGCATCACACATGCATGCCAGTGCATCTGGCTTTGCATGGCCACACCCGCACAGCAAGCACTTTATCCACGCCGACAACACCTTAGTTCTTATTTTGTTTTAAAAGCCAGTTTAGGCTAGTTTCTGAAAACATGAGTAGGTAATGACCAGAAGTTTGGGAAATACCAGCTAACATATCCTAATTTCTGATAAACATTTGCTGTTTGCTTGTGTAACAAATTCATTCACGGCCCCGAATCTCTTAGCTCCTGATTCCTACTTCACGGATGAGTTAGTTAACTGAATCTAAAATTTTCTTTCAGCACGCCCCAGGGTGCCTGCCTCCCCCAGCTCTGTGCTTGGTGTCCGTCCTTACTTTGGATTAAACCAATCCCACAGCCGAAGCTCCTCAATGCTGTCTCCATTTTGTTTCTTTTCTCTGCCTCTTCCTACGTCCTCTTCTCGGTAACCGTGGGACCTGTGTAGAAAGAGAACAGAAGCTGGGTGAGGCAGGTGGCCGGGCAGGTGGCCGGGCAGTGGGCTCTTTCATGACTCGTGTCTTGGGCGGAGATGCATTCTCCATCGCTTACAGCACTGAGCACGGATTCTACAAACTTCAGGTAAAGGCAGCATTTGTCTCTCTTGCCACCGTGCAGGCCAGCAGTTAGGTTCCAATGACCCTGTAACCGTGGGTTATTCCAGGACATTCCTCCAGGGAATATCCTGCTGAAATGTCTATTCTGAAATTTAAACTCCAGCTGAACTTCACCCTTAACTGGGGGAGGGCACAGGAAGGAGGAGGGAGACGGGGAGACTGACTCAGAAGTCCACTTAGAGTCCTGTGAACTGTGAGATGGCCCCTTCAGTGACACCACCTGTCACGAAAGCCTCAGAATCTGAGTTCAATTTCTAGAACCCACAGTGGAAAGACAGAATTGTCTCCCGAAAGCTGTCTTCTGGCCTCATATGTATGCTGTGGCACACATGTATCTGCATGCATACACACATCACACACACACACACACACACACATTCACATCCACAGCCACACACATATCACTCATACACTTACACACACACACACACACACACACACACACACACACACACACACTCATCACACATATATGACACAGACATATACACATCACACAACCACATACACATACATACCATATATACATACATCACATACATATCACATATACACATTATACACACATACATATATCGCACACACATCACACATACATACGTCACACACACATCACACATACATACGTCACACATATCACACATACATACATCACACACACAGAGTAATGGAATTTTCCCAAGTCCCTGCCCTGAGAAAATTCCCACAGAGTCCTGGGGAAGATGCTACATCCGGTATGGGGTATCTGAGGGAAAAGAATCTATGCACCCCATGCTCTTTGTCTGTTAATTTTATTCCTCTATGACAAAATTCTATCAACACAGCTTCAGCTCATCTCTGTGCCCAGTTTTCCTGTCCTCATAGTTTTTTTAATTACCCAGTAGATCAGCATCCGAGAAGCTTATACTGTTTGCCAATACAGTCTAGTAGTGTAGACAGGAATTTCACGGCAGAAGACAGCTGAAATATTAAAAGCTAAATAACACCAAATATTCCACGATAAATGGTTTCCTCTAGAAAAATACCTTGAAATTTCTAGGTATAGCTTTAATGCATAGCTGAATCTCTATAATATATTCTTGTGGCCTGTAAGAACACAGTACACATAACACACACACACACACACACACACACAGCACACATACAGCACACACACAGACACACAGCACACACACAGTGCACACACATACATCACACACACCACATACACACCACAAAAAGACACACAGAGCACACACATACACATCACACACATACATCACACACACACCACACACACATACATACATCACACACAGACACACACATACATACACACCACACACAGACACACAGCACACACACTTACACATCACACGCATACATCACACACACACACCACACACACATACATACATACATCACACACACAGAACACACACATACATACACATCACACACACACACACCACAGACACACAGCACACACACATATACATCACACACACACACCACACACACACAGACCACACACAGACACACAGCACATACACATACATGTCACACACACAGCACACACACATACATCACACACACACACCACACACACATACATCACACACACACACCACACACATATACATACATCACACACAGACACACACACATCACACACAGACACACAGCACACACACAACACATATCACACGCACAATAACAATAGAAATTAAAAATGACAACAAAAGAGACTCCTTGACTGAGTTCAGTGAGCCAGAAAGAGGGAGTGAGAAGGCCATGGCTGGAGTGTCAGGGACGGAGGACCGGACCCGCCCTGCCCCGCCCCGCCCCGCCCCGCCCGAGAAGGCCATGGCTCTGAGTGTCAGGGACGGAGGACCAGACCCACCCTCCCCGCCCCTCACCTGTTGCTAAGCCAGCTTGGGAACCACCAGTTCTTCTGCCGGCCACTGTCACCAACCTCTGGAATTCTAGGAAATGAAAAAAATATAAACACTTCTAGAAAATGAGGCAGTCCCCAGGGGGAGGGAGGGAGTTTCCAACGCTTTGTAAGTGGCAGATATGACACTTAAAGTGAACCTCACGCTGCCAGTTCATAAAACAGGGAGAGGCAGAAGCCTGACCTAAAAGGGGGGGGGCAGACCCCAGGAGCCTCAGCCGGCCCCTTCCAGGAAGCCTCCAGCCCCCACCCCATCCCTGGACCCCTGAAAGACGAGGTGCAGGGAAAAAACAATGATGGCAGCCTTTGGACACATGAGCCTGTGGTCCAGAGATCTGCTTGCTAATGCAGAGGCTGTGCTAATGACCGACGAGACAGCAGGCATGTGAGAGCGTGGTGAACTGGACATGGCCGTAATGAGGGGTAATCCTAAGAAAGGCAAAACCAAAAACAAACCGTTCGCCTTCCTGAGAATGATAGTGCAAGCGTGTGTGCGTGTGCATGTTACAAAGGCCAGTCTGAGAAAAAATTCGATTGCCCAATCATTGACAGCTTTGGGAAGTCTGAGGACTGCCAAAGGAGAAGTTAGAAAACTAGTTAGAGGCCATCTTAGCCCTGATTTGAGATGGTCTGCAGTCTCTGTCATTGTGAAAGTCTCTAGGATGAGAAAAGGGGGAAGTTGGATAAGGTGGCAAGGTAACCCTGAACAGGGATACAGTGCTGGGGGGAGAGGGTCCTGCTGTGTAGTTCAGGCTAACCCTCCCTCTTGGCCTTTGGCTGAGATGAGAGGCGCACTCCACCACTCCTGGCTAAGAAACCCACGACAGAATTCATCTGGAAGTGTCTGAGATGATTCACGAACCAAAGGCATGGTTATAACAAGTGGGAAACAACTTAAGAATAAAAATCACAGGAAATAAAAAGAAAGGCCAGCAAGATGTCTCAGCGGTAAAGAGGGGCTTGCCACACTCTGATGACCTGAGTTCAATTCCTGGAACCCATATGGTAGAAGGAAAGAACCAAATTATTCTTGGATCACCACATGTATACACACACACACACACACACACACACACACAGCCCTCAGCCCTTCCACCTGGATCACAGGTGATCACAGGTGTGTGTTCCTCCCTCAGCCCCTCCACCTGGATCACAGGTGTGTGCTCCTCCCCCAGCCCCCCCACCTGGATCACAGGTGTGTGCTACAACACCCAGCTGCCCCATCAGTCAGGCAAGAATGATTCTCAGATGACACTATTTGAAGAGTCCCCAGATCAGAAGTGAGGGCAGAGCATGTTACTATTCTATAAAGACCAGTCTGGGGACTGGCAGAGTACGGCCCTGACCCCAGGACCCTAGGCATCTGCCTCCCTCTCCGTGCCTCTCTCCTCCCCGCCCCCACACTGTGGCCTGAGCACCCCATTGGCTGGCACGTAGAGAATCAAGTGCAGGTGGGAGACACCGGTAGGTATGAGGAGTTCAGACCACTTACTTGGTGTGACATATCCACAAGAAGGGGCCTTCAGGGCTAAGAGCAAACAAGAAACAAAAACATGTTACTTTGTGTTTAATTCTCAGAGAGACTGTGTGGTTCTAACTCTGCCCAGGCTCCACCTTCCCCTGAGACCAGCGACAAAGGCCCTGGGGTTCCCACAAGCAACGCCAAGGAAGGGAAGGGACATCTGACAATCTCAATTTCTGTCTTTTGTTTTGGGGATTTTCCCCTCTCTTTCTCTCTTTTAAGGTTGGTCAGCTGTTATGGACAGGAAGGTCCTCTTCTACCACGTTCTCAGATGCTGGGCAATGAGGAAGGTGGGCGCATCCAGGCCAGCCATCCCACGCTGAGGATTTATCTTCCCCCAGGAAACAGAGCCTGGGACATTCACCCCAGATCCCTTCTGCAGAGCAGACCCCAAGGGCGCTGCTTTAACCAGCCAAGGCTAACTTGACACCCGGAAGGCTAGCCCGGGACTGTAGAGCGTGACCTCTATTGAGTCATTCTCTAAGTACTTGCTGGGCATGTCCTCCACACCGAGTGAAGGGACTCTCTGCAGGCCAGGGCAGACGCCGTCCTTACCCATGAGGACTATACAATGTAACAGAGAAGGCAGGCCAATCACACAGTTACTTAAGTCCCTAACCAAAGTGTGCAAGAGAGAGCGTCAGAAGCATGGGTCCTTCTCGGGAGGACCTGGCAAGCTTCCTGGAGAAGGCGATGTATTCTGAAGGACGAAGAGAAGTTCACCAAGGTGAAAAGACACGAGAGAAGAGTGTGAGAAGAGTGTGAGAAGAGTGTTTCAGAATGAAATAGCAGACCATCCTCGAAGTGGTTACATGTCTGTCACACCTTGAAACTAATTATCTTTGCATTCTGACTGGAGGTGCCCCCCTCCCAAGCCTGTACCCAAGGAGACAGGTTTTTTTTTTGTTTTTGTTTTTGTAGCCAAGACAGGTTTGCTGGCTCATCCAACTTTAAAATTCAAAATTCAGAGATAAATCTGGGGGCTGGAGAGATAGCTCAGAGGCTAAGAGCACTGACTGCTCTTTCAGAGGTCCCGAGTTTAAGTCCCAGCACCCACATGGTGGCTCACAACCATCTGTAATGAGATCTGGTGCCCTCTTCTGTGTACACAATAAATAAATAAATAAATAAATAAATAAATAAATAAATAAATAAATAAATAAATAAATCTTAAAAGAGAGAGAGAGAGAGAGAGAGAGAGAGAGAAATAAATCCGATGTTAACCCAAACCACCAGAACTCTTGGGCCACTAAAACATTCCCACTGTGAAAACAGTCATCTTCGAGACAGCTCCTACAGTCAGCTGTACACAATGCACTTGTTGAAGCTGAACAGAGTTCAGCCAGTGTCCCTTCTTAGGGACCTGCTGGGGCTGTGCTACGGAGCTGTATCTCCCTCTGAGGTCACTGACACTGGAGCTTCCAGAAGCAGAGGCGGCACAATAGATTTTACTTCACAGATGAGTCTGATGACTGAGAAACATTTAATTCATCCTGCTCTCCAAAGCCAAGGGGAGCGAGGGAGGGAGAGGGTGTTTGATCCAGGCACAAATGAATCACTAGTAAAACTTAGTATTTTTGCATCAAAGCCAACCACTTGGATGGCTCCTTTAAACCCTACAAATATTTTAGGATTGCAGGACTTAGGGCTGGTTTCTTGTGGAATTCCTATTTGAATTTTATTTATTTCTCTTTTGTCCTTTATTTTTGTTACTTTTAAATTTTATGTGTATGAGTGTTTTGCCTGTGTGTACTGGTGTACACCATTTGTGTGTCTGGTGCCCATGGAGGCCAGAAAATGTAGGATCTTCTGGAACTGGATTACAGGTGTTGTAAGCCACCATGTGGGTGCTGGGAATCAAACTCGGGTCCTCTGAAAGAGCAGCCAGTGCTCTTAACTGCTGAGCCACCTCTCCTGCCCTTTATTTTTTTGAATCAGGGTCTCCCTATAAAGCTGTGGCTGGTCTGGAAGTCACTATGTAGACAATTTTGGCCTCAAACTTGGAGGATCCTCTTGTCTCTGCCTTCAAGTACAAGAATTCCATGCATGCAGCCCTGCCTGGCTTGAAATTTCTTGTATCTGTTTTTGGCTTAATGTGCCTTCTCTCTGGGTTTAGCCTACAGAAATGCAAGGTACTAGGAGCATAGCAAGAAGGAAGAGAATTACTTAGGCAGAAGTTACCTGGATGGTCTGTGGTTTTAACAACCATCCAGGGCTGGGGAGTACAGGAAGGGTGGAATCCTGTTTACAGCTCAGTTCTTCATCTTCACCCTGCTTGGTCACTCAGCTGTCACCAGTCACTCAGAGTGAAAACAGCCTTTCCATGGTCACAAGACTAGCTGGTTTCATAATTACCTGTTGACATACTCCCAAAACACGACAACCACAGTTGAGACCACCAGCATCGTCAGGACTACTTTCCCCTTGACATTCATTCTTTTCTCCTGGGGAGCGGGGAGAGAGAGGGGGAATAGATGGAATAAATTAAATCTGGAGTGAGAGATGGCTCCTGGGGCTGGAGAAGCAGCTCAGTGGTTAAGTACACTTGCTGGGTTCAGTTCCCAGCATGCACATGCTGCTCACAGGCGTCAGTAACTCTGGTTCCAGAGGATCTGATGCCCTTCCTCTTCTGGCCTCCATGAGCACCAGACATACATGTATGGGTGGTGCCCATACATACACAAAGGTAAAACACTCATACACATAAAAATATTTTAAATAATATAAGTAGCCCAAGGCCTCTGCCCACACCGTTTCTAACAAGATACATTTATGTGTAATTCACTAGAGCTGAGACGTGTGTTCCTGCTCAAGGGCACAAACTAGTCACAGCAAATTAGGCCAACATAGTTAATGAGACTGCATGCTCTGGGAAGAATGCTGGAGCTGCAGTCCCAGCCCACCCCCGCCCCCGCCCCCGCCCCCGCCCCCGCCCCTGCCATATGGGCGTCCGCAAGTGAGGAGGCAGGTGTTAGAGCTGTTAACTGTTCGCTCCACAGAACTCCAGTTACCTCAGATTCAGAGCACCTCTGACTGGGGGGATGCGTTCCCATGCCCCAGCTCTGCTGTCCCTGGAGTACGGACTACACACTCTGGTGCCTCGTTATAACCCGGGCCTTGCCCACTTTCCAGCCCCACCCAGTTCACTCCGCCACACACCCACGAGCAAGCAAACAACTGGAACAACCAGAGGAAAACTGTGAAAGAAAGGGAAGCGGGTGGTGGCCAGAAAACAACAGGCTGGAAGCACTTCAGTGTGGTGGTCAGGAAAGGGGGCGAGGGGCCGGGGCGTGAAAGTGAGCGCTGGAGATGAAGACAAGGGTGCTGCCGAGGGCCTCTGCGGAACGACATCCATAATGGGCCAGCCAGAGAGGAAGCTTTAGAACATAAAACTGCACCTCCAAAATGCTGCACGAGAAAGAAGAGGGTGAGCAGGAGTGGACAGGGCTCTCAAATGTCCACCAGGAGTTTGGGAGGTACCAGCCTTTGAGGTGGCGAAGAAGAATTGGATCTACGCCCAGAGGACCTGTTCACCTGCTGAGGGGTCGGGGGAGGGTACCAGAACCTCGGCATTAGTGGGGAAAGTCACAGACTATTCTAATGGCCAAATAGAGGGAGCAATTGTATTGTACACCTGCATGTTGCTGTCCCCATATCAGGACGTTCTGACATAACACTTTTAATACCTTACAACACTTGCCTGTGTCGGGAGAAATCGTTCCTGGAGACTTGCCGGCTATCCGAGACTCCAAGAGCTCAGACAGGATGTGCCTTTGACCCACACATGAGCCAGCCACTCGGGAGCCAGGCCTCCTTTATCTGGCCCACGCACCTCACAAGGCAACAGGACCTGGCCTTATCACCCAGCGTATCAGACACCTAACCAGGCCTGCCAAAAGCACTCTGAGTAGATCTTAACTGCTTGCTCTGCCCTCCTGGCTGTTCCTATAAACCCCAATTTCCAACTCCCAGTATCACTGTAGTGGGTGGTGCTCCAGAGACCCCAGGAAGAAAGGCTAGGTAGGAAACCTGTAAGAAGGCAGGCTGAGCAAGCCATGGAGACCAAGCCAGAGCAGCACCCTCCACGGCCTCTGCAGCAGCTCCTGCCTCCAGGTTCCTGCCTTGGGTTCCTTCCCTGACTTCCCTCAGTGATGGAGTGTGACCTGAGAGTTGTAAGGGAAAATGAACCCTTTCCTTCCCAAGGTGCCTCTGGTCACGGTGTTTATCACAGCATCGGGAACCCACACTAAGACGGAGTCCCAGGGATTGAACCCAGGTCATCAGGCTTGGCAGCCGCGCCTGCTGAGGCATCTCGTTTTCCTTAGTAGGTAGCTAGGAATAAGAGACCTTCCGCAGCACTAGTTTCTTAGTGAGCTCCACACAGGCATAAGCTGTGAGCTTATCTCAGAAGAAACGTCTGCAAACCAGCAGAAGGCTTCCAGGTGAATTCTAGAAGTGAACGCAGAGACTAGATCCAAATGCTGTAAATTAGCTGAGCTTAGCTCAGAAGCCTTCCTCCTGTACATGAGCACTGGACCGGGCCCTGAGCACAGCTTCCTGTAATATGTCCATTCACTGTAAGTTTAGCCCAGAGGCTGTGGATTTTAAAAGGCCGAGTGACCGGACAACAGCTGGCCACAGCCCTTACCGTGATGATGGCTGAGTCACAGTCCTCATTCTCACCACCTTACCTCCACCCACCCAGAGACCCCCCACCCACCAGCCAGAAGCCTGTCCAGGGACTCCTAGTTTACCACAGGCTGGAGCCTAGCAGGCCCGAGTGCCGGGCATAAAAAGCCCCCACCAAGGCCAGGTCGGCCCTCGTCTTCCAGTCCCCCTTACTGTTTAGGGAGCTGTTTTTCTACTTCCTGGAGGCTCTGCTTGTTCTTCCACGCATGAGGTAACGACTTGGGTGACCGTGGAGTTTCCCAAGCCTTAGTTCTCTGAGCCAAGCCCACCCACACCAAGAAAGAGACTTCTTCACACTCAAGGACACCCCACAGCAGAGCGAGAGCCAGAGAAGTCCCAGATCAAAGATCACGAAGATCTGAGGTTGTGGATGTTCCTCGGTCCTCATCCACATCTCTTTAAACACCTTGGAAAACCAAACATCCTTTTGCAATTGAAGAGGCAGGGCAGTCCCAACTGACGGTATACCTCTGTATCTATCCCATTTGAACATTTCTACGGATAAACATTACTATGTCCTGTTACTTGGTTCAGCTGCATGGGAACGCATCAGCGAGGCTAAGCAATCCATGAGCCCCAAAATCTCAATTCAAACTCTCTAGGCCCAGAGTTTCATTCAGATTAGGGACTGGGGACCTGGACTAGATCAAATTAAACTGGTTTCCTTGGTTTGACAATGGGGATCACAGGGATGGGGGAGGATGCAAATTTAAGGCCAGCCTGGGCTACACACAGCAAGACTACCTCAAATCACAAATAAAGGCCAGTGAGGTGGCTCTATGTGTACACCAGCTGAGAAAGCCTGTGACCTCAGCCTGATACCCAAAATGTACCATGGAAGGAGAGAACTGGCTAAGTGTTTTCCTCTGACCACTACATGTGCATTCAGGCATACGAGCTACCACCACCACCACAACCACCACCACCACCACACACACACACACACACACACACACACACACACACAAACACACACACACACAAACACACACACACACATGCGTGCACATGCACACATGCACTCACATACATCTTTAATCCCAGAACTCAGGAGGCAGAAGCAGGCAGATCACTGTGAGTTCCCGGCCCACATAGTGAGACCCTCCCTCAGGAGAGAGAGAAAAACCCAGTAATGACTTCAGAGCAGTGCCATAACATAGGACAAATGCTTTTTCCAAATTTCAGTCTTCTTCATCACTGACATTCATAAAGGAGGCGGCAGGGAGGCTGTGCTGGAAACGGCAGTGAGACTGAGAAAGTACTCAGACGTTTGGAGGAGGGAGAGCTCTGGAATAAGAACGATTTATACAAATGCAACTCAAGGCTTCACCACCTGTCCCAGCTCAGCCTGGTGAGGGCTGCTGCAAAGGGAGACCAACTTCAGTTTTCTCTCGTCAGGTCCTGGGACACCTGTGCTTGCTGAGAGGCAAGGCGAGTGTTGGCTTCGAGGCTCAGCTGGGCCAACCCCACTTACCAAGGGTCAAATGCGAAGCCTCTCCCAGACTGGCCTTCACAGGGTCGCCTGTGCCACCAGAGGCGGTCCAGACCGGCACACCTCCCAGTGCCTACCACCAACATCCTGGTGGCTGTGGGTAGCTTTTTAGACTCCAGGAATTCACATCAAAAGTGACTCTTGATGCACACTTCTCCGTGGGCGTCACCAAAGGCTTGAAACCACCTGCCGATTGGCTGTGGCTAATCCCCCCGCGGGCGAGAGCCTTGCAAACTGAAACGCTGTGCAGTGCTAGAAATGGGCACAACATGCTTCCTAGAATCTTCCTAGAAACCCAAGTCCCCAGGGAGGGAAGGGCTGGCTGGATGGCCAATTAGTCTTTTAAAACCATTTTGTAAACCATTCTGTATTTCTCTCTGGACCAAAATGAGACATTTGGCAGACAATGTGGCCTACAAATCCTTCTCTGTCCCTCAGAACTTTGAAAACTACACTTCTGAAGAGTGGTGGGTGGCAGTGTTCCCGGCCAGGTAAGAAATGAGTTTGACTTCTTTCAGGACTTGACTCCAAGATGACCAAAAAGAAGGAAGAGGAGGAGGAGGAGGAAGAGAAGGAAGAGAGGAAGGGGGGTGGAGGGATGGAGGGAGGGAGGGAAGGAGAGAGAGAGAGAGAGAGAGAGAGAGAGAGAGAAGAAAGGAAAGATTGAACCAAAAAGGGTCTCAGGCGTGTACAGCCAAGTTACCACACAACTGTACCCGGTGTGTGCCCAAGGACAGGCCATTTGAAGTGCGTCACTCGGAACACTGTAGAGGCTGCTGCCGTCAGGGACATTTCCTAAGCAAGAGTCTTCAATGCATATGTGCTTCCCAAACTCCGTGTCATGCTGTATTACTGTGTGAGCTGTGCCAGCCACAGCAAGGTGGTCAGGAACTGACCTCGTGAAGCCAGCCTGGAGAACCAAACACCGCCACCAAGATTCAGACCTGCTGGTGCTGTCAACCTCCACCAAAGCCTATGTGGTGGCTTCAGATAGGTAGAAGAAAAAGCATCTGAGAAGAATAAAAATCAAAGTTATACTGAAAGAAAGAAAGAAAGAAAGAAAGAAAGAAAGAAAGAAAGAAAGGAGGAAAGAAAGAAAGAAAGAAAGAAAGAAAGAAAGAAAGAAAGAAAGAAAGAAAGAAAGAAAGAAAGAAAGAAAGAAAGAAAATAAATGAGTTTGAATCATGTAGGAGACCCCTGGGTGATCTTAACTAGCCCAGTGGTCCAGTCTGTGACAGCGTGGGTCCCTCCTGCCACCTCTGAGACCCTCTGACTCAATGCTCTTGTCATGTCGCTACTCCATCCTCTGGCCACTCCCAGACTCAACCCTGCAGAGCATTGCTCCCACATGGGTTCACAGATGAGCACCTGCACCCCAACTCCTGGGACATATGTTGATGCTGGTGGCATTTCACAAGGCAGAGCCATGCTGTGAAGCCTCCACCTTCCTGGCTCCACCTCACGGTTCAGTGAACACCCCTCAGAGAACCTCACAGAGCCACACCAGCCAAATAAAAACATTCCTTCCAAACAATTCCTCTCTGGAGGGGACACTGGACAATTCTGTTTTCTCCATCTCATATCAGGGTGAAAGGTGAACCTCAGCTGGAAGCTGGATGCAGAAAAGCCCTGGAAAAGCCATTATCACTATTGTGGAGAGCAGAGGACAGGCAGAGAGAAAGCACTTGCCAAAGAAACCAAACCTCCTAGGAATCACTCGCCTCCCTGCCTGCAACCCTGCCACCATGGCCTGGAACCTGCTCTTCTTCCCCAAAGAACAGCCAGGCGTGATGAGTCCAGGTTAGCACAGGCCCGGCAGGGTACTTGGTAGATGCACCCATATGTTTGTGAAGTGAATAAACCAATGAGAGCCACCCAGACCCGCTAACCACCGTGGACCAGGCTATTGGGGACTAGTGGGTTCTTGAAAACGGAGACACATCAATAAACAAGGCCACCATGGAGCTTCCATTCCAGAGGCGGAGGCTATAGCGTGTCTAGTAGTAACCAATGCTACAGAGGCAAACGAAGTAATAAAGTAACAAACTGGATATTGCCTATTGACTGGATAAGCGCCATGCACGCATGCTCACGCACACACACGTTGCTGGTGACAGAACTCCACACTTCACCACTGTATAATCCTCTGCTTAAGACACCATCCTCTGGTTCCCCCAAGCCCTCAGTTATAACTAAAGTATTAATCCAGCTCTACAGGTAAAAAAATTAGATGAGGTGAAGACTGATCCTGGCAAGGTCCCAGACATATCCCCTGGGGAGTTGCTTTAACCAGAGGTTCTATCTCATGTATAATATGGAGATGCAACATCTTCCTGGAGGCTTTGCAAAGGCCAGAAGTAGACCATGCCTACAAAGCTCCCTGGGCCAGGCAATCAGCACACACCCCACAAATGGCAGCCATCACCATGACAATGTTCTTTAGGGAGGGGTTCCAGCCATGGGTGCAGAGCTGTGTTTTCACCAGAGACAAGAATCTTAGGCCCATATAACAACCCCTCACAGAGCAGTTGGGATGGACCAAGACCTCAGTGCAAGCTAAGGGAAACCCTGCTAGGCCCAATCTGGGGCAATGTTGCAGCCAAACATCCCTGCTGATTCTCGTGGGTTCCCACATTAGGCATTTGCCAAGATCAGGCAGGAGAAGTGCTTAGTAGTGAGCAATGATCGCTCGTGAACTATGGTGGAAACCAAATGAACTGATCTGTCTTGTAGTTTTCTTTCTCTTTCTCTTTTTCTCTTTGGCCTCTACTGAGTTCCATCCCTGGGGCAGTAAAGAGTGCACACTGCTCTTTCAGAGGACAGAGTTTGGTTCCCAGAACCCACATTGGGCCACAATCACTGTGACTCCAGGGATCTAACACCTCTGGCTTCGGAGGGCACCTGGACTCATGTACACAAAACTCACACAGACACACATGCATGGGCATTATTAAAAGTAATAAAAATATCTTTAAATTTGCAGCCAAATATAGCAAGTGTGTCATGCTGCTCCACACATCTCATCCATTTTCCAGTTTTTCTATCATTTTATTATTGTTTTCTAAATGTTGTGTTTGAAGGATTGGCCTTTTTTACCTACCATGATATCCTTTCTCACAGTGTACACATTCGCTTCCTACCGAATATTGTATCTACAACTTTAAATCCTTTTTCTTAAAGCGCCCTGCCCCCCATCGAGTCAGCTTCTAACTACAGAAACCTGCATCCTTCCTGAGCCAGGCCAGGCCAAGCTGGGCTAAACCATTCTCCAGCTGTCTTTCGATTCCGCCTCAACAATCCTGTCATGTAACTCTATTATTAATCCCATTTTGCAGAAAGAAACCAGGCTCAGAAAAGCTAAGTAACTTGCTCCTGTGCCTGACACACGGCTCTAGGGCTGGGAACCGACCTCCAAGGCCCTGTCGATCATCACGGAAAGACTCGAGTCTCTTTATGCCATTCAGGATTACCACGTTGTGACTGACCCCAAACTGGCCAAACACCAGCTAGGGTCAGCTTCTCCTCAGATCAGCTGGGGAGCCTGACTGGACCCCTCTTCTGCCACTGCCAGGGATCTCCTGTGTGCTCCTGGTGTGCGGCATCCTCACTCGTCCCACCTCTCCACTTCACAGTGGCCAGTGGTCACTGTGTTGACAGTGGTCCTGCCCGCTGGCTGAGACCAGGCCCGAGTGAAGGGGTAGCTGGCACAAGGTCGCTGGACATGCTCAGACGCAGTGGATCTTAAGGTCAGAGTGTCTGCCCCCAGGCCTTGTTCTCGGCTGTGGGGAAGAGTCAGGGTGGGGGGGGGCATTTTATTATAAAATTCCCCACGGGGAGAAACACGATACAATTGATGGGGAAAGAGACCAGAAGCCAGTTTCCAGTTACGCTTTTCATGAAGAAGGTTGGAGTCAGGGCTGGGGCAGGAGACAGTTCAGTGGGTGGGAGGCTTTCTGCTTACAGACGGCCTTCAGCTTGGTTCCCAGCACGCACGTCACAACCACCTATAACTCCGGCTCCAGGGGATCCCATTCCCTCTTCTGGCCTCTGTACCCTCACATGAACACAGAAGCGCGCACGCACGTGTGCGCACACACACACACACAGAGAATATTAATAACAACAGGGTCAGAATAAACACAGATTCAAGAACACGAGAGCCAGGTCTGCAGCTTTTCTACAGCAGGAGACATGCTAGGGGAGTGCTGTGCCGTCCCAGAAGGCCCAGCACTGTCCCACGGTGCCCTGCCCCCACACGAGGCTCAGCTCCCGCCCCTGCACTATCAACTCGAACCCCACACAGGGAACTCCGGGCTACAGCCTTGACTGGCACAGCACTGCGCCCTGCCAAGAGGAGCGGATGAAGTGGAACTGGCAGCCAAGCCCTGAGCCCCGTTCCACCGGCCCCTGCTTCCAGTCACTGACACAATGACAACCACGCTACAGAGTGGCCAGGGAAGGCTCAGGGAGAGGCCAGGATCCCCCCATAGGAGGGACCATGTGGTGGCCCGACAGTAGCTCCTGGTAGCCCAAGGCTGGCAGACACAAATCCTTTCAACGAAGCACGTACCTCATCGTCCACTGTGTTCCCTCCGGAGCGAATGGCAAAGTTCTATTGAGCTCCGGCCTGCGGGAGGCAGGACCCAGAGGAAGGGAAGGTGCAGGGTTCCAGCTCCTGTCAAAAGAATAAACAGCTGTTTCAGGAAGGGGGGGGGGCAGACAGATCCCGCAGGAGCGGCCGCTGGCTTTGTTCCCTCAGCCCCGGGAAATGGGCTGTTGACTCAGAGCTACATGCCAAGGCAGAGCTGGTGCTCTGGGCCGTCCTGACTCCCTCAACAAGAGAAAAACTACAGGGACCAAACCAGGCCAGGAGTCACAGGAGAGGAGGTCACCACTCTCCACCTCACCCACTCCTGGGGAAAACCGGGAGCCATGTGGAGTGCAAACATACTCAGGTTCCACCTCCCAGGGACAGTCAAGGAGAGATATGAGACAGCCCAGAGCAGAGGCCCGTGAGCGGACATTTGATGAGATGTCTAAATGTGATTCTGAGAAAGCTCTTCGTCCACAGCCTGACTCTGGAAGCCGAACTGTTTTGTGGAACCGTGCTTTAGAAAATGATATGAATCTCCATATAGAAGCCCTTACTATATAACCTTGGAAAGGCCACAGAGGCCACACCTGCTCCTCAAGGGACAAGGCTTGTCCCTTCCCACCCCGCTGGAGGCAATTTAAGGAGGGGATTTCTGGCTAGGGCTTTTTTCTTTCTTTTCCCCTTCTTTTCAAGACAGGGTCTCAAGTAGCCCATGAACCCACTGTGTAGCCAAGGACGGGACCTGCTGGCCTTCCTGCCTGTCTGTCAATAGCACTAGGGTGATCGGGGTGCACCCCCACATGCAGTCCGTGATTCGAGGGACAGACGGCAGAGCTGTGTGCATGCTGGGCAAGCCCCCGGCAGCTGAGCTGCAGATGGCACACACTGGCTCAAGCAGAGAGGTGGCACTCAAGGCCCCTGCCTCATGCCCTCCCCAAGTGGCGGGGACACTGCCGGGAAGCCTGGGAACCCCAGACGATGGGAAGGGACCAATGCCAGACAGGAAGGAGTCAAGGCCTGGCTCCAGGTCACTCAGCCTCCTCCTCCTGTTCTCAAAAGGAAGTGTCCCGGCTTCCTCCTCTGAGGGCAGGAACCAGCTGACCACTGCCTTCAGGGACTGGAAGTTCTTCCTAACAGCTGGCTTAAGTCCTTCTGACGACATCCATTAGACCCACGGGAACACAGGTCTGCGACAGTCTTTCTGCTCTCGAATCTACTCCTAAGAGATGAGCATCAGAACATAACGCACCCCACGCTGGAACCGAGGCCCATCAGAAATGGTAAGCTGCCACCAAGTGCCACAACGGCATCCTATCTGTAACAACGAGGACCAGCAAGCTGCAGCCACGTCCCCAACAGAAGGACCTCAACACTCGGTACGCAGTGAAAGGAACTGACCCATAAGGATGCACCCAGGGTCGGGCAGGGCGGTGCATGTCCGTGATCCCAGCACTCGGGAGGGGAGGGCAGGAGGGGCAGGGTTCCAAGGCCAATCTTGGCTACATGGTGTGTTTGAGGCCTGTAAGCATCACAGCTCAGGTGGAAAGGTGTCCTGGCAGCCAGGAGCCAAGGAATACTACAATCACACCACACAATAAACCTCACACAAGAGATTTACTGGGAGGGAATAAAACCAGGAAGGTGGCCGCCTCTGTTCGGGCGAGAAACAGCAGCACACTGAGTAGGATACAGAGCTTATATAGAGTTTCTTGGGAAGGGGGTGGAACTTTTCAGGGTGGAGCTTTCCAGGGTGGAGATTGTTGGGATTTCATGTCCAGAGATTGGGCTTTTTACTCTGTAGGGTGGGGAAAGGGTCCAGCAGTTAGAGTATTCTGTGGGTGGAACTTGGCAGTTAGAGGTCCTTGGGGAGGGGCCTAGCCACTCATGTTGCTCCAGGGGCTTACATTCCCCCCCTTTTGTTTATTATTGATAAACAACTAGGTCACAGGAAAGGGGGTCGATATTATCATTAGACTACTTCCTAATCAGTGAACTGGATCTTCACCATTGCTATAATCAGGAGTCACTGGCCTCTGGTTCTGGAGCTAGGGGATGGTCATCCTGTAACAGAGACTGATTAAAAGTCTGGTTAGAGATCTTTTGAGTCTGTTGCTGAAATCCAGACAAGAAGTTTATAAGGCAGGGTGTGACTAGTAAGATTAAGAAGAGCAGGAGAAAGTGGGTTAAGAAGGGTAGTATCCAATTCCATACTGGACTGTCCATGAGGCATTGAGCTGTTTCTTACATTTCTGGAGATCCAACTGGAGTTGTCAGATCTTGCCTTTTACTACACCTGACTGGTTGATATAGAAGCAACATTCCTCCCTGAGGAGGAGACCAAGACTACCTCTCTCTGCTGTTAGTGAATCTAATCCTCGCCAATTTTGTAGGAGCATGGTGGCCCTGGAGGGTAAGAATGGTCTGATGCACCCGTTGGAGATGCTGGATGAACTGAGAGGAAACTGACGGTAAAGAGCAGGGAAGGGGTCAGTCCTGAGTATCGGCACCCAAGGGTAAGTGTTAGAGCTCTGGAGGGAAAGGTATCTTGTCACCCCTGTGTGGCTTTCATAATAAAACTAAAAAAAGCAGGGGGGGGGGTCTGTAGTGACACTTACCCAGTAGAAAGGGAGAGAGACAAGCGGTCAGAGCAGGTAGAGGAGAAAATAGTTGGGGAAGTGCAGGTGTTTTAGTAAGTAGAATTGGACACGTGGTGGGCCCTGAAAGTTGCTGTGGGGAGCATGCCTAGAGGGCATAGAAGACTCTTTCTCAATAGTTAGGAGATAGGAGGCTTAAGTCCCCTGAGGCTATGGAGAGAGAGTAGGTATTGATCCTGGGTGATATGTTTAGTGGGATTTGCTGAGGCTGGTAAAGCTGTCACCCTACCCTGACAATAGGGGAACAAGAAGATATGGGTCCCTAAAACTCTGTCAGGACTAAATAGGTGGCCCCAGTGTCCAGAGAGAGATGGATCTCCCTGGTACTGTGATGTCTATCCGAGGCTCCCAGTGAGAGATGGCAATGGTCAGGCCAAGGGAGCCGGCCCCTCAGTCATCCATGGCCAGCTGAGGAGCCACCTGGGCAATCAACACCCCAGTGCCCTTCTTGACGGCACCTTGTACGTGGTCTGGGTGGTTTATGAGGGATCAGACAGGCCCGGGCCCAGTCACCCTCCTGACTGCTGCATTTGAAACAGGGACCTGGAGGTTCTTGGGTGCTGGGAGGCCAGGGAGCCTGGGCAGTTACCATAGCCGGTCGAAAGGCCTTTGCTAGCCCCGGGTATTTTTGTTTTCAGGCTTTTTCATCTCTCCCATGGTACATCTTAAAAGCCATTGCTAAGAACTCTGCCTGAGGAGTCAGGGGTCCTTTCTCTAGACACTTAAGTTTGGCCCTGGGAGAAGAAGTAGGTCATAAGGAGCTGTTTTCCATCTGGGGTCTCAGGATTGGTATATTGTAAGAGGGCCTTTGTAAGGCAGTCCAGGAATTGAGATGGGTTTTCATGCTTGTCCTGGACGATCCCTCGGATTTTTTCGTAATTTACTGCTGTAAGGGTGGCCAGGCAGGAGGCAACTTGCAAACTGAAACCTAGCATGGATGCCCTCCGGGGTACTGTAATTCCATTCAGGGTCCTGGTCAGGGACTGCCTCAGTCCTGACTGGGTGGGAGCCTGTCACTGAGAAGGAAAGGAAACCAGAGAGGCTGGACAGGAAGAGAAGGGACTGTGGGTTGAGGCTTGTTAGTGTGGCTGAAAATAGTAAAAGATTCATCTGCTTTGGGCCTCACAGCGAGGAGGAGCTGTTTTTCCTTGGATGGCTTATGTCATGTGGTCACTTTTATCAAGATGGGAGTGAGGTCACACTGCAAAGTCCACCCTTTCCAACCCCCGCAAGACGGTTGTCAGCCACGCGAAGACGGTTGTCAGCCACGCGGCTGCCTCCATCCCAGTGTGGGGACAGCAGCTACGGTGGCAGAGAACCACGCGTTTCCTTTAAGATTACCTATGTAGAGATTTCTAACCATCAACCCTGGCGTTACAACTTTAACTCTTTGTTACAGATTTTACAGATTTTCAATCATACCCAATCTGCTTACGAATCTGGAGGTAAGATTTATACCTTAGCAAAAGTTTTAGAGAATTAAAGCAAAGCCAAAGGGGTAAGAGGTGAGGGCAATGGTCCCCGGGGGGAGCAGTCTGTCCCTTTGTTTTGTTTTCTCTCCTTTCTCTGTCACACAGCAGGTGGCTCTCCTGATATGGGACAGAGGTTTTGGAAGAAACCTTTAACAGGCACGCTTGGGTCTAGAGGAGGGGGAGCCACACCCTAACTCTAGAGCCAGATTTTAATGCAAATGGAACAGCACAAAACAGCAGTCTAATGCCACTCATCCCTAAAAGACACCTGAGTCCCTGTAAAACAGAATCCAGTAAACTGAGAACAAAGAAGGCTTGGAGATAGGTGATTTCTGAGCTCTGGCTATAGACAGAGGATGCTGCAGGAGGGAGCTGAAGCCCCAGGCAGTGTGTGTGGGGTGTGTGCGGGTGTGTGCGGGGTGTGTGCGGGGTGTGTGCAGCGTGTATGCACATTGCAGCTGGCCTACTCCTTTGCTTTCTCCCCCTCATGCTAGGTCTGGTTTCTGGTTCCCACTCAGCAACAAACTTACAGATCCGTCTATGGTAACTTAAAAGGCAGGGCACTGCTGGGCAGTGGTGGCGCACGCCTTTATCCTAGCACTTGAGAGGCAGAGGCAGGTGGATCTCTGTGAGCTCGAGGCCAGCCTGGTCTACAGAGTGAGTTCTGGGACAGCCAAGGCTACACAGAAAAACCCTGTCTTGAAAAACCAAAACAAAGAAAAGAAAAGAAAATGAAAAAAGACAGGGCATTTACACAGTGTGTGGGTGTGTGTTGGGGGGAGACCAAAGAAAAACAAACGGGGCTTGAAGCTGAGAAATGGGGAATGGGGAATCTCTTTCCATTTCCTGATCACTCACAGTATTTGTAAAAGTCCCAAATATTAGGATCTAAGGTGCCAACGAGCAGCCTTCTGGATTGATTATCTAAGGGGTATTGAAGCCAAATTTGACTGCA